GAGTTCGGTTCCCGGTACCAGAGAAAAACCAAAAAAAAAAAAAAGACGGACCCCTGACTCTATTCATGAACGCCATCTTCTCATTCTCTGGAAAGAGCAAAACAATACAGATTTTTAAAGTTTAAAGTGACTCTTAGAGGTTATGCTGTCAGATGCTTGGCAATTATTTTTGTGAGACATCTGTTGAGGGCCCGGTAAGTGTAAGGTAGCACCCTAGGCCCTGAGGATGTAACGGTGACTACTCAAAGTCCTTCTCACTTGGTCTGCCTTTAGAGGGGGAAGTGGACAAAGGACAAAAAGACAAATGTCCCATCAGGTGCTGGCAAGCACTGTGGAGAAAAGTACAGGGCAAAAGAATGATGGATGGCCGGGCATGGTGGCACACGCCTGTAATCCCAGCACTTGGGAGGCTGAGGCAGGAGGATGGTTGTGGGTTCGAGACCAGCCTGGGTTACAAAGTGAGCTCGAGGCCAGCCTGTACTGCATAGCAAGACCGTGTCTCAAAAAGACCAAAAAAAAAAAAGAACCAAGAATGATGGATGTTATTTCAGATATAGAAGGGGCTGGGAGACCCTGTCTTGTTGTCTTGAGAACTTTACCCTCAGCATTTTCAGTGAGATGTGCAGATTAATACTGCGTTTGCCTTCTACATGATTTTCCTACAGTACAGCAACAAGAACGCAGTCAAATATAAAGGAAACGAGGCTTCCTGGCAGGACACATGGGTTCTAGTCCTGATTTTAATCATTACCTCACAGCCAGACTGTTTAAACGTCTGAGTTTCATTTTCTCCACTTGGGAAATGAGACTAGCATGCTTCTCGCATTCAGATAGGGTGCTTTTGAGTATAAAATTACACCACATTGAGAAAGAGTTTTGTATAGCTGCCATGCAAGGGCAAAATACCATTATGTGGAAATTTTGTTTCCATAAAAATGTGCTGAAGATTGAGATTTTTTAAAACTGCTTTTAAAAATTTGATCTTGGGGCGGTAAGTAAAAAAAAAAAAAGAAAGAAAAAGAAATTTGATCTCTTAAACTGGGTGTGAAAAAAAAAATCAGGTGTGGTGCTGCACGCCTGTAATCCCAGCACTTGGGAGGCTGAGGCAGGAGGATCGTTACAAGTTTGAGACCAGCCTGGGCTACAAAGTCAGCTCAAGGCCAGCCTGAAATGTATAGCAAGACCCTGTCTCAAAAAGACGGGAAAAAAAAATTGATCTCTTTCTGCCCATGCAGGAATAATGCAAACAGAGAAAAGCAACCAGAGTTCCACCTCTAAAAACAGGCCCAGTTCATTCCTGTATAAGATTAAGCGAGATGTGTACAATGAAGTGAATTTTCAGCAAGAACACAAAAAAAAGCTCCTCCCCTCAGAGACCGGGAACAACACCATCACCACCTTCAGACACCAAGTCCTGTGCCGGTAAGTGAGTCCAGTCATTCAGCTGCCTCCAAGCCAGGCAGGACCAAAACTTCTCCCAACTCCTCTGCTGCCTGCTTCTGTCTTCCTTCTCTGAATTCCTATCTTCAGACCTCTAAAGTTTATCATGTGACTTTTCTTTAGTTGTTTTTAGTGGTGTGTCTTACAGCACTTCCTTGATTATCAATTATGTGGGCATTCTCTTAGCCTGTTTTCTGTTGCTATAATAACATACCCAAGGCTGAATAGCTTATAAAGTAAATAGGGTGGCTCACAGTTCCTGTGGCTGGAGAGTCCAAACGCATGGTGCTTTTGTCCTGGCAAGGGGTCCCTGGCTGCATCACAGCTTGGTGGAGACATGGGAAAGGAACTAGTTGCAGACAGAAGAAGCCAAGGCAGAGGGCAGCCTTACTTTATGGCCATCTTTTCTCATGGTACTAATCTAGTCCCCCAAGAGCTAGGGCTCCCACAAGACAGCAATTATCCATCCACAAGGGTGCTGCTTCCGTAGCTCCCTTACCTCCCGCAGGGTCTGACCCCTAAGAGGTTTCGTCATCTCGTGCCACCAGCATTCTGGGTAACAGGCTTCCAGCACACGAGCCTTGGGGCAGGACAACCTATCCAAACCATAACACACGGAAAGACCTCGGGTCCCCCACTCTATCTAGGGGTGGTGTTTAGTAAATACATTATTCAGAGAACCCCCTTCCCAGTCTCCTGGCATCCTATAAAGCTGCCGCGCTGGACTAATTAATGGTAGCAGTGAGAGCCTTCCCACTGCTCGTCAGCGCTGCCCACACGGTGTACTCCTGGTCCTCCCTGGTGACCCCACTGCCCACCTCCGATTTCCCCTATGACTAACGAACTCCTACAAATCAGGGGCTCTCAACTTGCTTTTGTGCTAAGA